AAGATAGGATTTGTAAAGTATCCTAGAAAGATAGTAAGTTAGGATTGGTAGGATATCCTAAAAGATAATAATATAGCATTGGTAAAATATCCTATAAAGATAGTAAGTTAGGACAGGTAGATTCTCCTAAAATATAATAAGTTAGGATTGGTAATGTATCTTATAAAGATAGTAAGCTACGGTTGGTAAAATATCTTACGAAAGGTTTTTCTAAAAGAAAAAGGATTCTTGATTTAATACGACCAAATAAAGTAGAAAACTACAAAAATCTTTGAACTTACTAACATTATGTCGATGTTTTCAAAACCACATGTATTCCTAGGAAACTGTGAGATGGAAGACAATACCTCCAGGAGCAGTGGTTGAGCGATGAAGTTACTGAAGACTTATTATCATTATAGTTAGGCCTAGTTGTTAAGACACCTTTTATAATCCAAAACTCTAGTATTTCATAATCATATTCTATTGTAATATTTTATCCATAAAGGAAGTGATATTTATATTTTATATTATTTTGTATTGTTCAATGACTGTGATCCAACATTCCTATGTTGCACAACACGACGTTTCTGCTGTCGGTCAAGGATGTGACAATGACGTAGAGAAGTAAGGTCGAATCCTCATGGACACATCCTAATGGTTAATGTATTTTTGCGTAAGGAACATACTAGTCATTAAAACAAAAAAAATGGGTTTTTTATTTAAAACTAAACTAGAAATTGCAGCGAAATTAACTAAATGAAATCAATAATAAAAACGAATTCAGCTCTACTGCTACTATCCTAATCATGCAATCAGCTCAGATCTGGTTATTCAAAATGCGTTCTATCTAAGTTAGTACTGAGAAAAACTAAGAAGCTATAGTATAATCTCTTTTACCTAGTTAAATTAACCAAAACGATCTCTTTAGTTTACCCTAACTTTTTACTGTCTAATTAAACAAGCTCTTAATTAAGATCAAAAAAGTTGCATCAAGATCTATGTAAAATTCTAAGAATTATCCAAGTTAAATCCCAATACGGAACCAATCTCATACTTGTTACCTATTATCAATCAACTAGAACAATTACAGATTCTATTAACAGATTAACTAGAATGATTAAACCATAGCTAGGTGATCTGACTAACAAAAATTAAAAATCAAACATTCATTAAGCTCAAAACTAAAACAACTAGATAGAAGCATATAATGAAAATTAAATATGATAACTGATCATGTGAAAATTACTATTCAATTGCAGAACTGAAAACTATGGTTTTAGTCAGACATGGTTAAAATCCAATTAAAGCTAATAAAAAGAACATTAAACTACTAGATCTTACTAAACTAAATGTAGGACAATATCCGTAGTCTTCAGATCTTTAGAAATTGCTGAAATCGGAGAGAAATCATCTCAGAAATCGTATTTTTCGTCGTCTGGAGCTTAAGGAATCGAATAACCTTCAATCTAATCATAGAAGTTGTATTTATATGCAAGTCAGAAGCTTCTAGAGAAAGAAAGACAAAACCACGATCGCATATATGCAAGGCGAAATTCTCCAGAAACCATGTTTAATGAAGTACGATGCTTTTTTGGAACGTTTTTGGACTTCGAGGGCAAAATGAGATCACATATATGGGGAAACATGAACGAATTTTTGTGCTTTTTTTCCCCTGATCACTTTTCAAACCTACAAAACTTCAACATGTTTATGTGATAGCATTTGTGGAGAAATGCGATTGGATTTTTTCTTTTTCACAAAAACAAAAGTCGTCCGAAATTTTTACTAGTTTTTGAAACATTTTGAATATTGTCAAGCTACCAGTAACATCCTTTAGGCTTTAGAATATTGTAAGGATTGAAATATATATAGTGAGAATTCGAAATAGGTCTAAGTCTGTTAGGGTGCAAAATCATATTGATTTTGAAATGTATGTATCCTCAAGGCACATGTCGAATTTGAACTCTAACATCTAGTCCTTGTACTTTTTGTGCATCTGTAACACCCTATAAATAGGGTAAGTATTAGTGTAGAGAGAATCTTTTCGATTGTTCATTATTGTAAACTCTCTCAAACACTTGTACTCTTTACAAACATAAATGAGACAGTCAGATCTTATTTACTCGACGTGTTCTTTCTGTTTTCTATTATTGATTCCGCATTTAGTACTCGATTCTAACTCACATTAATTGATATGATAGCAGGATTCATTCAATCAGTTTCAGTTTTCTCGTGTTTGTCAATATTTTTGAATCGCTTTTTCCATTTGAATTTTTTTTGCGATATTGAATCAGAAAACTTGTTTCAATTGGTTGTTTTGTTTCGATTGTGCACTCTGTTTGTTAGATCCAGTGTTTACTGGCCAATTTCTATTTGATTCTCATTTCAGTTCTCTTTTCTGATTCAAAAATCAAGGTTGTCCATACAACAATGGTGAACTTTAACATGAACACGATGTCTAGTTTTTCACACTTGCTTGGATCATCTACGCAGATTCCAATGCTCATTCCTGAATACAATGAGCAGTGGGCGATCGAATGGAGGATTATCTCAATAGAATAGATGAAGATCTTTGGAGATAAATCACAAGTGGAAACTATCATTCTGGAATGCTTGAACAAGTTGGAACTATTGGTTCTTTTGCTAATGTTGTTGTGAGAAAGGAGAAACAACAAGCTAATGATAAGAAAATGCCTTCATAAACTATATGGTGCTCTTCTACCAATAGTTTACAACTACGTTCGAAGTTACAAAACAGCTAAGGAGATTTGTGACACACTAAAAGAAAAATATCAAGGCAATGAAAACACAAAGAAAAACTCAGTGAAGCAATGTTTTTTGGAAATGGTTGGGTTCAATCAGAAAGATGATGAAACCATTAAGTTATAATATGATTTCTTGAACGAATTGATATTCAAGTGTACTTGTTATGGTGTTACTCGTTCGAATCTAGAATACAATCTGACTTTTCTAATGGGATTGCAAAAAGAATGGAGGAACATTAGCCTGATGATCAAAATTAAACAGAGATTTGATGGTTATTTGTTGGTTGATTTGTATATTGTTCTTAAGGCCCATGAAAGTGAGATAAAAAAAATTACTGAAGAAGGAAAGTTGAGCTTAGGACGACCTTCAGCTCGGATGTCGAAAGTGATTTCCAAGGACTTTGAATTCGAGTCTGTTGATCAAGATGGCCTTGAAGAAGAAGGATTTATGGCTAATTCTAAAGATGAAGTTGTAGCCTTCTATTCGAATAACAAAGTGAAAAGGTTCTTTAAAAATCTGTTCAATCTAAACTATCAGAACAACAGTGAGTTCAAGGGGAATAAATCAACTGGAAAAAGTGTACAGGTCGAGTCGAACGAGTAGAAGAAGGAAGTGAAGAATGTTGTTGAGAAAAAGAAAATAAATCTCAAAGGGGATTCGAGCTATGATTGCAATTATTGCAATGGTTTGAATCACTTGGAAAAAGACTGTATGATGCGAAAGAAAGAGGAGAATAAAGAGAGAGTGAAAGATTAAGCATACTATGCTAGAAAGATTGATGAGTCGAAGGATCGAACCAATGGACTCTCCTTGATGGCTAGAGGAGAAGATGAGAATGATGGGACGTATCATATCTGGTCTTCGGATTCTGATGATGAGGAGATGAGGAATCCCACCCATGTAGCGATGTATGCTCAGTTAGAAGAGGATGGTTCAGATGATGAGAAGATCTCTGGAAGATGCTTTGACTAAAATGTTGCTAGAAAATCTCCAATGACGTTGAAGGTACGTAATCTTCTTGAATCCATTAATAATTCTTCTAATACATATCTTGTAGTTTTACCAGATTTGGATGATTCTCTTTCTTATCTTAATGATATGTTGATTTCCGTGAGTAGAGAAACTGAACAATCGAAATCATTACTATATGATGGATGAAATAAAATGGAAGTTTAGAATAGTATGATAGAGAGTTTAGAGCTTCAATTGAGAAACATTACAGTAGATAGAGATTCTGTTAGGACTGATAATATGTTATTAGTTAAATAAAGGAACATTTACTGTAATTATGCAAAAATTATGTATGCTAAACTAATTGAATTGCATCATTCTTCTGATATTTGCAAAGAATAACATCGAAAATTGCTTCCTTTCTTAGATTATGAGAGAGAAAAAGTAGATGCTACTTCGTATGATTGTGAAAAGAAAACTTATGAGTTTGATAAAGTACCTAATACTTCGTATGCATATGGAATAGTCAAGATTGATGAATGCTTAAATGTTGATAACGTTATGCATATTATTAATGAAACACTCGCTAAAAATGAACAAGTAAAAATTTTGAGCATGACTGAGAAGTCGACATTTGATTCGTAACAAAATTTCATTAACATCGAAGATGATTATGATAATATCAGCGAACTTGAGGCTGAGGAAAGTGTCGATTGCTCTCAGTTATATGTTATTAATGTCAATTCGATGGAAAAAGGAAAAGAAATATGTCATGATTCAATGGCGAAGGTTAACAATGATCAATCTTCTACGTCCAAAGTTTGTAATCCTCTTGATCGAGTTGTAGTGGAAGACTATGTGAGCGATGAGGATGACCTTTCAAATGAAATACCTATTCTTTTCTCATATTAATCTACTGAATCAGAGAGAGTAAGTCTTGATGTCGAACCAAATGATGATGATGTGATGGTTTCTTTTGCTGATCTGTAGTTCGACACAGAAGAGATAATGTTCCTGAAGATAAGATCATGTAAGGTAAATAGTTCGAAATTCTTAGCACCAAAATCAATAATCTTTTACAAATTCAAGTTGATATTGGGGGAAATTTTTTTGTTATTGGAGTCGAGATGGAGTATTTGCTGAGATCGCAGGAGAATCGTCTTCGCACCTTGGTTGAAAGCCTTGAAGCGAAACAGGTCGAATAGTTGAATGTTCACTCTAAGAGCTTTGAGAATGAACTTCAAAAGCTTCGGTATGTGGCCAAGGAGCTTCATGAACTCTTTATCAAACAAGTGACGAAGATGAAAGAATCAGCAGATCTTCAGGTGGCTGAACTTAAGTCAGAATTGGCCAAAGAAGTAGAGAAGATGGAGAAAAATTATGTTAGGTTGCATAGTAAAGTTGATGTTGTTGTTGATGCTATTACGAAGTTGGTTGAGTTTAATACTGATTATTTGACCAAACTTGAAGCAAAATCGGAGAAGGATTCCAAGGTGTTTGCCAAGTTAGAGGAATTCTTATCAAGCATTAAAGAGTCAATTTCGAAAGTTGATGTTTCGACTCAGTCAACTGTGTCTCAGGAGACTACTTCTTTATTGATTTCGAAGATTGAGACGAATATCAAAACTGATTTAGCACCCATCCTTGAGTTGGTCCTTCTCTTTCCAATGAATGCTCCTCGTGTTGTGCAAGTATTGGAAGGGGGAGATAAAGGTTGTGGTGGTATTGGGTCTTTGAAAGATTCAGAAAAAGGAGCAGTTGTTGGAAGAGTAATGTCGACTCAGCTACCGACTTCACACCCTATTTCATTGTCTACAACTTCAAAAACAACCACAACAAGACCTATCACAAAAAGGATCGTTCTAAATGAAAGTGTTGGAGGTATAAGTTCGAGGTTTGTGCCACCAACTTCGAAAGCTAATCAAGGGAATAAAGGAAAAGGTATTGTGGTGACTCTTTCTGAAGAGGAAAAGAAAAAACAACAGGCTTTGGAGATTGAGAAGCAAAGGTAGCTAAATAGAATTATGAGGAGAAGGCAAAATGACCCTCCTGGCTTGAATAAGGGTGATCCTAGCAAGCAATGGTGTTATGAAACTGTTCACGTTACCATGTACAACCACGTTAAATTTAACAGAAAGCATAAACGATACGTTATCACGCCAGAACTTTGGCCAAGACCCGGTCTTGGCCTAAGTAATCCAGCACCAGGGTGGCAGTTCGCTTCCCTTCACAAGAAAAGAATATTCCTTGTGATCTTCTCATTCACTCACGACTAATCAGGACAGGACAAAAATCTTAGGTGATGCCCAGAACTGATGTCACCAAGCAATTAGTTAGTGTGTGCATAATTCTCCCAGTTAGAGGAGGCCACATCTCACATTGGGCAGGGTCCCCACGTTCCGTTAGTAACAGGTATAAAAGGATCTCTTCGGTCTCAAGGAAGAGATCCATCTTCTTCCTCACTGAGTTTAACCTAAAACTCTCTCTCTCTCTCTCTCTCTCAGAAAACTAACTTGATCGTCGGAACGATGTCCCAGGAGAACACCCGGTCGTCCTTTAACGATTCTTCTGTGTTGTGTTCTCAGGAAAACTTTGAGATACGATCCATCATCCAGCATCCCATCCCTTGAAGAGCATGTCACAACATTTGGCACCAACCAGACATATCCTTAGAGTGATACAACAAATGAACGAAGCTGGTTCTCTACAAAAGGGCGATCTAAACCCAACAACATCTATGACTGCAGTGGATGACCTGTTTCAAACACTGGTGACGGTAACCAACGACCATCACTGCGAGTATAGACCAGAAGCCCCAACCCAAGTGCTAATGGCATAGATCCTGCCAATTACGGAGCCAGTACTCCAGAGCAATTTCTACCAACTGTCATTGGATGGCTCACTGCCTCAGATGGTGATATCGCATCCCGATCTGTTGCAAGAGCCTTTGTATGATGGAACGGAGGTACTCACTATCTCTAAGTATCGTAAGAGAAACACAACTCACCAAGCGGGGTACGAGATAGAGGTCCTCTCGAGAAATATACTTAATATTTGTTTTTCGAGCAGCGATCCCAGACCATTGAACTGGGATACATAAGACCCACTCCTCGTATCTGGATTCATTCATAACATGAAAATCCATCGAATATACATTGACAATGGTAGTTGCTCTAATATAATCTATGAGCATTGTTTCTAGCAACTACCAGATGCGTGCAAGGAGGGGCTATAGCCCCCAACTGGTGGGCCATTGGTAGGATTCACTAGACATAGTTTCTGGCCATTGGGCACTATTCGGCTGCTCTTAACGTTGGTCAATCACGACAAAAGGGATCGAATCACACAAAAATCAAATTCTCGGTGATCCGGTATCCAATAGAACACAATATTCTGCTTGGACGATCAGCAATCTCCTTACTACACCTTGTACCATCGACGATCCATGGCATAGTTAAATTTAGCACGCACCAGGGATCAACGGCGATCCTCGCTACAAACATTAGGGCACATCATTGTTACCAGATCATAGCCGATCATGAGTTGGTACGAGCACCAAAGAAGTCTAAGGAGGGATGTTTCCCCGAGCAACACCAAATAAAAATGGAATATCCAGAACAGCTCGTGCGAATTGGTGCTCATCAATCAGATGAGACCAGGGCACGAATGGTAGCACTCCTGAAGCAATATTCCACCGTTTTCTCCTTGAAACCAACAGATCTGATAGGCATTGATCAACAGGTTATAGAACATAGCCTTAATATCATGCCTGGGAGCAATCCTGTTAAACAAAAGAAGAGGGGCTAGGAAAAAGAACGAAACAAAGTTATAAACGTAGAAGTGGCCAATCTAGTGAATGTTGGCATACTTAGGGAAGTAATCTTCCCGACATGGATAGCAAATCCTATCATGGTAAAGAAAGACAATGGGTCATGGCGAATGTGCATTGATTACTCAGATCTTAATAACGCTTGTCCAAAGTATTGTTATCGTCTCCCATAGATTAATCAGAAAGTCCAAATGAAACAAGAGAATGAGGTGAAAACTGCCTTCCACACTGAGAAGGGCACTTTTTACTACTAGAAAATGTCATTTGGGCTAAAAAAATGCGGGTGCTAGATATCAAAGGCTCAAGGACAAGATATTTTCTGATCAAATTGGTAGGAATATCGAATTCTATGTCAATGACATGGTAGTTAAGAGACGCAATGAAGAAACATTGCTCCACGATGTGGAAGAAACCTTCAAAACGCTAGATAAAGCACATATGAAGTTAAACCCAACTAATTGTACTTTTGGGGTAGAGGAAGGGCAATTCCTTGGGTATAAATCCCACTAAAATCCAGGAGTTCCTCAAGTTGAAAATTCCCCATAACCTTAAGGGTGTATAGGAGATCAATAGTAGGTTGACAGTATTGGGAAGATTCATTTCCAAATATGCAGAAAAGACACTTCCTCTGCACCAAACACTCAAAGGGTGCCTAGACAAAAATGGACAAAAAAAGCAGATGCGACATTGCAACAACTAAAAGATGCCTTGTACCAACTACTAGCTCTCGCCTACCCGCTACCAAGGGAGACACTACAGATGTATTTAGCAGCTTCCAAAGAAGCTATCTCCTCTATGTTAGCGGTAGAGTGGAAAGGCAGGAAAGTCCCCATCCATTTTGTTAGTAGGGCCCTAAAAAGACCAGAGGTCAATTACCCGACCTTAGAGAAACTGGTCCTCACCCTAGTATACGCAGTTAGATAGCTATGGAGGTATTTTCAAGCCCACAAGCTGGATGTTCTGACTAGTTACCCGATAAAGCAAGTGCTTCTAAGGCCAGAAAACTTCAGGCGCCTGGCCAAGTGGGCCACATAATTAGGCTAACATACATCCATTACCACCCCCGGACTAGCATTAAGGCCCAGATGCTCGCAGACTTCCTGGTTGAAAACCCAGATACTATTAAGGGAGTAACGATAATCTTTGTCGATCCATTAGAGCCTGAAGCTGGAAAAGAACTTTAGAAGTTATACACCGATGGTGCAGAAAGTAAGGAAGGCTCGGGCGCATGCCTGATCCTCCAAAGACCCAATAGTGAAGAGATCACTTATGTACTGCGATTCAACTTCCAAGTATCTAACAACGAGGCAGAGTATGAACCACTCTTGGTGGGTCTGAGGCTGGCCAAGGAGGTTAGTGCAAAGCAATTAGTAGCTCTCAATGATTCATTACTTATCACAAACCAGATAAATGGAACATACGAGGCTAAAGACCCAAGGATGCAGAAATAGCTAGATGCAGTTTGTAGCCTAACCAGCACATTCAAAAGTTTTTCAATAAAACAAATCTCCCAGGGAAAGAATGCAAGGGAGAATGCTCTCAGTAAGCTAGCCTCTACTTCTTATGATCACTTAACAAAGAAAGTGCTAGTTGAAGTACTCCCGGAGAGAAGTATTGATAACCAAAGGGTTAATACAGTATCGACTACTCCAAAATGGACCAAACCTTACGTTGATTACTTGCGCCATGGCGTGCTCCGGATGACCCAGAGGAGGCGATAAAAGTCAAGATCAAGGCATAACATTTTGCAATCAGAGACAACCAATTGTATCGAAGAGGGTATTTAAGCCCGTGGCTAAAGTACATCTCTACAACAGAGGGTCAGAAGTTCCTGGAAGAAAGTCATTTCAGAGACGTGGTGACACATGAAGGCACTCGAGCGCTCACAGGCAAAATACATCGCCTAGGAGTATATTGTGCAGACATGTACAACAACGCCGCAGTCCTAACCAAGAAATGCAAAGAATGCCAAGAATTCACTCCTCTCCAAAATCAACCGGCCATGCCATTAACTAGCATCACCATCCCATGGACCTTCAATCAATGGGGGATTGACATAGTGGGACCATTCCCACTAGTATCATGAGGTGTAAAATTTTTGTTAGTGGCCGTGGATTATTTCACTAAATGAATAGAGGGAGAACCGTTGGCCATTGTCATTAGCAAACAAATGATAAAGCTCATCGCCAAGAATATATTGGCTCGTTTTGGCACCCCTGGAATCCTCAAAAGCGATAATGGCACGGAATTTGAAGGAAGTCCCTTCAAGGACTGGTGCGAAGACAAGCGAATCCACCGTCAGTTCACGTCAATGGTGCACCCTCAGGCCAACAGACAAACTAAGATATCAAAAAAAATAGTAGTCAATGGTTTGAAGAAAAGGTTACTCAGATCAAAGTCCACCTGGGTGGATGAGCATCCGACATTATTATGGTAATATCGTACCACAATAAAGTCAAGCATGGGAGAAACGCAATTTAGTCTAACCTATGGGGCAGAAGCAGTCCTCCTATTGGAAATAGTGACCGTCTCCCTGTGAATAGAGACATTCGAGGAAGTGGCCAATGAAGAAGGGTGATGGCAGGACCTGGACATGCTCGATGAAAAACCTAAGGCGGAAAATATGCGCCAAACACTATAAAAATCACGAACTGAGAACTATTACAACCGCCAAGTCTGAGTCAATAACTTCAAGGTTGGAGAATGGGTGCTAAGAAAGAATGTGTCCAGCCATTCTGAACCATTAGGGAAACTCAGTGTCACTTGGGAAGGACGATACAAAATTATGGAAGCCCACACGAATGGTGCTTATGTCCTAGAAGCTCAGGACGGGTGTGTCATTCCAAGAACTTGGAATGCGTAGAGCCTACGTCATTTTTATTTTAAAAATGACTGTTAAAAATAGATTTAATGCATCAAAGGCATTTTGCATTAGTTTTGACATGTAAATGTAACTAGTAAAAATTACTTTACCACCTTCAGTCTTATAACACTTCAACAATAAAACTAGAAAAAAGAGAGAAATCAAATCAGATGCTCCTTATTTTCAAGCTTGAAAAATAAAAAAAGAGGTTGTGTACGTTTACCGTGTGACAACAAGGATTGGTCATCCAACGTCACACGAGCAAAATTGATACAAGGAGGTAGCCAGGGGGTTTGTATAAAAAAGGATCACAACTTTCT